CCTGGCTACGACCTGCAGTGGTCACATTATAACAGACTCGTGCTTTCTGTTGTCTGTAAATCTTTGCTTTCACTGGTTTCTGCTTTATGTCTTAACACTCTGTCTGTCTGTCAGGGCCTGGCTATATCCTGAAGGACGCTTATCCTAAATGACTGACAGTGGTTCCTGTGTGCAGTAACTCTGTTGTGATCCGATTATGTCCCGTCTGCTAAAGAACATTACTGAGTATGTGGGCTATGTCTATGCTGTCAGCTGACCTTTTTGATCTTCTTAGGGAACTAAATGTAAGATCATCATGACACCTGAATACCCCCCCCCATTAAAAGATGCAGTATTTGCGTATTTTATTCTGAAAGTTCAGTTCACCACTGCCTTGTCTTTCCTGCCTGCATGGTGGTCAGGTCTCCTCTATGTCGTTCAAACTCTCGTCCAGATGTGTTCACTTCTGACTTTTATATCAGTGGGTGACGTCACAGTGGCGACGACCATCTAACCACCAACAGACCTCCAGAGCAGACCGTAGACTCTGAGGTGAATGACGTCAAAGACACCACAGAAACTAGGCCAGGAAAGTAGTACGAGGCTAGCTGTTTATCAGCAACTGAGCTTTCAAAATAAAATACTTACTTTTTCAGCAGTTTCAACCAGACAATGAGCGATAACCCACCAGCTGTTGCAGCTTTAATCACATTTTCTTTGGTGAAACTGTGATGACACTAAAAAAAAACAAAAACACTTCTTATTAAGTGTTTTTCTAAAAGAACTTAATTCCATAGGAAAGCTTGTTTGCTTTAACAGATTTAACATAACCACCAGAAAAAATAAATGCCTGTACCTCAAAGACTACCTACAAATGTTCACGTTAAACTTCCTGTTAATCTGTCAGCTGGTGTCACACGTTAACTGATTGTGTCTTTAGATTAATTAAGAGTTGCTTTACCTGTCTGTGTTGGGCTGTGGCTACGTCCAGGAGTTCACAGTGTGAAACGTCCTAGGCGTCACAGGTTCTCTGTGCAGCTATTTTGCGTCCCAGCCTTTATTTATTGCTTTTTATACACTTTAGGATACAAAATGGTCTCCCGTGTGTTTCAGCGCCCGCCACCAGAACAGTCATTAAAATTCATCAGGGATGGCAAAGGGATCCAGGCTTAGACTATTAGCTGGATTTTCAGACACAGTTTGTTTCTGTGTTTCGATGGCTTTTATTCAAAATAACATCTCCGAGAAATAAAAACTGAAACGCTAAAATATTAAAACACCAGATTTGGTGATTATGTTTCCCTTTGTTTTAGTCAGGTGACTTTGGATAAAACCTGGTTTAAAAACATCATTGATGACAAACAGCAATCAGTAAAAGCTGGACAATGAAAAATCTGCACAGCTTTAATTAGCGTGACGCAGCCTGGGATCCACAATGGTTCAACAAAAGCTAAATGACTGCCTTGGTGTGGTCTGTGTCTATATCCTGGATGAAAAGAACATTTCTTGCACTATTATCAGTTTGTGAATACTTCCCTCTTTACCGGAGTCACCAAATGGCACACAACAAAGACAGTTTTCAGGGTTTTTTTTTTGCTTTTCTGCGGGGTGGGTCTATTTCCTGCTCTATAATGTTCACTGACTTTGACTGTATCGTTGCATTTATTTCTGTTTCATGAAATCTGACAGGAAGTGACAGACACTTCCTTTTTGCTTTGCCTTTGTTTCTTCTGGACTCTGGATCATGGGCCCTGACTACGCCCTGGATTATACTCTGCCCCAGGCTAGCTCCATCTAACTGGGCTGTGATTATATCCTGGACATTATGCTTGTAACAGATTTTGTGTTTTATGTTATAACTGCCTGTATATCACTGCTTTTTTGTTTGTTTGTTTGTTTGTTTGTTTTTTGGGTACACTGCAGCACATATCCAGCACCGTCTGATGTTAGGAGTTTAAAATGTCAACATGTGGGAGGAAAACTCGAGCTGTTTCTGGTGCAGCTTTAAGGATTTTCAAATCTGAAGCTCAAGGGTGTTTAAACCAAACGTTAAGCAACTGAAAATTTCCCCAAAATGATCACTTAGCAGTTGAGCTGCACCACAATCAGATCTTTTTTTTCCCACTTTTGCTTCAAAGATGGCACTAACCTGATCCACTGGGATTGGTCTATGTGCTGGACAGGGACTCGGCTGGAGCTTTTTGTTTGTAATGTTTAAATCTGTACATAAACGCTGCGATATGACTTCTAACTGTATGAAAAATCAACTGATCTATTTATGAAGCTGATCATGATCATGACGCTAATTATTGTAACTATGACGAAAAGTGATTTAAAAAAAAATACTGTCTGAACATGATGATCACGTGTTCGAGGTTTTTTTCTGCTCTATTTTTCCAACATTTTACTGCCTTTAAATCAAAGCTTGATTTTGGTGATCTGAACGCAGAATTCTCCTTCATGCTGTCAAATACGCAGGACGACTGGTGGTGCTGATTAGGCCTGGACATTTTATCAGATTTTAGTTTCAGTTACGACTTTGCCTGCCAATGAATATGAAAGCGGATCTTATCAGGCGCGCTCCATTTCTAACAGGGCTCAGTGGTGGCATTTGATAAAGCAGCTCAAAAAGAAACCAAAGGCGTATTTCTCTTTAGTTTCCGCTCTTTGTTCCAACAATCAGTCCAGACTAAACCTTTCTAATATTATTAAATTCATCCAGTGTTGAGAAGTCCTACCAGACTAAAGTTTAAAGACTGTAAAACACCACAAAAACACTCTGTGGGGTCATCGAGGGGTCACCAGCTGTTACCACCTAAAAGTGAGATGTTGCAAACAGTAAACATTGTAAAATATTGCAGGTTAATCTGTGCAGGATGATCTGGTTGCCTGCAGTCGTCTGTTTCTCAGTTGTTTTTGCCTGTCTGGAGACAAAGGTTGGTTGTTGGCTGCAGCTCGCTGTGACTGTGCTGGATTGGTATCTGTCTCACAGACATCGGGCGGCTCAGGTGGTCGACCAGGTCGTTTACCAAACTTCAATCAGAAGGGAGTGGATGGTTCCCGCCCTGTGCATGTGTCAAAGTATCCTTGTGCAAGATGCTGAATCTCAATTTGCCCCTGATATACATCGGCGTGTGTGTGATGAAAGACTGGTTCGTTTACCATGATCATCATCATCCCCAGTACAACCCTGTCTCCCCTGTTACCCCAGACTTTATATTTTATCTATTTGCCTTTTGAATTAATTTTTAAATTAGATGAAATCCATATATTTTTAAAGTATAAAGTGCCTGACGCTTGTTATGAATAATATGAATCATCATGTTGAATAAAATCCTAATTTTGGAGTCTCCCATAATTTAGCAGCAGTGTCTGACCAAGTTTGGGAGGCCCTGAAATTAAGATAAATGGATGGAAAAATAAGAAACAGAGGAGTGAAGAGGAGACAGGGAGCAGTCGGGCTTTGAAGGACGCTGTAGGAAATCACACACAGGTGTTTTTCAGAGTTTTAGTTTAATCAGTGACGCAGCATGAAGTTAAAAAGTGTTAGTTTTCTTCTTTAGCTGCAACAGAACTGGACAGTCCTGATCAAAATAACTGAAGAATTATTATTTTGAAATGATTTAGGGCTCTGTCTAAGTCCTGGATTAGGAAGGAGTCTGAGTCCTGGCACCACGTGTTTGAGGATCAGCTAAAATCTTCTAAAAGTTGAATGAAGTTCGGTTTCTTCGGAAGTTTCACTCATCAGACAAACGTACAGGAGGGCAGACTCCGCCCTCTCTGCCATCCCACAATCCTCGCCGTTTCCTTTTTTTTCAGAATCCAACTCTTTGTGTTCCCAGTAAAGTTTGGAGATGGAGGTCGAGCTTCGCGGCTCTCTGCAGGGAGATGCCGCCTGGCTCAGCACTAATTAGCTCTCGGGCGCTTCCTGTCCCGCAGAGAGAGGCGGATTAAAGAGGTGACCGCTCAGCGCAGACGGGGTCCACCTTAACGAGATAGCGCCTGATTGGCCAGGCTGTGGGTTAATTGAAGGGGAGAAAGTGATGAGTTTTAATTAAAAGGAAACCTCAGAGGGAGGCCGACAGCCCGAGAGCTGTATTTCTCTGATTCGTCACCAACTTTACTCTCAAACTTTTTAACTATTCGTTTTTTGATGACACTGATCTGAACCTGCAGTTTTTCAATAAGAAACACTTGTTTTCTACTAACTTTGTGACTTTAATCTTCACATTTTCATGAATTTCTAACTTTATAGAGGCAGCATGGTGACGCTGTGGTTTTGTTGCCTCACAGCAAGTTTTCACGGGTTCTCTCCGATACTCCGGCTTCCTTCTTTTCTCACATATTAATCACATTCTGATTTTGTTCAGTTGTCACATTTAGGCCTATATTTGGATCCAACAGTGTTGTCGATGCTTTGCTCCCTAATCTTGTGTATCACTGCCTCATTATTAGTAACGTTTCCTAAACTCTTCCTCGCAGTAATTATCACTGTAACTAAATGTTTTTCAAAAGAAGGACAAACTGCAAAAAAGGAAGGAGACACTGGGAAGTGAAAGAAGAGAGGACGGAATAAAAA